GTAGCTTGGTAACCACTAGTTCAAGGCTAGAATTCTCTGCTACATGACGAGTTCCTGGAAAGCATGTCTTACAAAGTAAAACTGCTCTCCTTTATCGGAATCTTTTCTCCCTGTTAAAGGTCATTGTAAAAATTGTCATATTTTTATGATTAATTGGGAATTTCTTACAATATACATTATACTCCTTTTTCATTGCTCCCAGGTTCACATTCCTACCCATGTGTCACACTCAAAATAAATTAAATGATACATCAATTCTAATATGTGTTGTTTATATACTCATTGGAAAATGGTCAAAGTCTCAGTGCCAATGCCCTTAAAGACAACTGAGTTCAACCTTTCTACATCCTGGCGCCACCCCCAAACATAAGTCATCAGTCCTTTAGAACTCTATACTTCATTATCTTGATCACAATTTTCTTATATATTTATTACAATATATTCACTTTGTATCCTTTCTTCAGCCCTCTCATTCTTCTCCCACCTATCATAAGCACCCTCCCTCTTCTATCCCTATTCCCTTTCCCTAGTCCTCTGCTCTGAGGACTCCTCCTCTTCTATCTGACCCTAGCTTATCAGTTCCCATCAAGGCTGGCTGCTTCATCTTCTCTTGTGGCCTGGTAAGGCTGCACTCCCCATGGGGATGTTATCAAGGATCAGTCAAGTGATCATGTTGCAGCAGTCCCCTGTTCCACTTTCTAGGGAACCCATCTGGAAACTGAGCAGCCTATGAGCTTCCTTTCAACAGGGGGTCTAGGTCCTCTAAATTCATGGTCCTTAGTTAGAGTACATGTCTCTGCAAGCCCTCCTGGGCACAGGTATTTAGACTCTGTTGTTCTTTTTTGTGGAGTTCTTGTCACCTCTAGCACTTTCTATCTCCTTCTTTTTCCATTAGAATTCTGGCAATCTGCCTAAATCGTGGCTATGAGTATCAGTATCTGCTTCCAACCCTGGTGAGTAGAGTCTTTCAGAGGTTCTCTGTGGAAGGCTTCTGTCCTGTTCCTTGTCTTCTACTTCTGATGTCTATCCTGTTTGCCCTTCTAATGAAGATTAAGCATCTTTCCTAGGGTTCTCCTTGTTTAGAGTCTTTATGAGTATATATTTTAATATATTTATCTTGTATGACTAATATCCATTAAAGGCGAATCCTCCTCCATTGCTGGTGGGAATGTAACTTTGTATAACCACTTTGGAAATAAATCTGGCACTTTCTCAGAAAATTAGGAGTAGTGCTACCTCAACATCCAGTTATACTACTCCTAGGCATATACCCAAAAGATGCCCCACCATTCAATAAGGACATTTGCTCAACTATATTCATTGCAGCTTTATTTATAATAGCTAGAATCTGCAAACAACTTAGATGTCTCTCAATGGAGGAATGGACACAGGAAGTGTGATACATTTACACAATGGAATACTACTCAGCAATTAAAAACAAGGAAATCATGAAATTTGAAGGCAAATGGTGGGAACTAGAGAAGATCATCAGTGAGGAAACCCAGAAAGACATATATGGTGTATACTCATATTATCAAAAATTTTAAGAACTCTCTTCAATGGCTTACTGACTAGACTATATCTTCCTTTTGTTGTAAAGTCTAAGAGAACATGCACTGCCATATGGTTTCTAGTGAGGCAAGGACCATGGAGACCACCGTGGCCTCCAGGCACAACACAGACCATGTAGGTCTTTTGAGGGGGCCCGATCCAGAACATGAACTCTTATCCAGTGCCAGCTGCTGTGGCTCTAGTTTTACTTCTCTCTGCCCCATTATTGGGGAGCTGCTCAGCCATTTTTATTTTCTCCATTTTCATGAGACCACTTTTTAAAACATTCCCCAAAGAAATGGCATTTTTGTTGTTGTGAAGATAGTTTGCTCTCTGTAGGATTGTTCTATGCTACAGTGTATCTCCTCTGTGCCTTCATGGTTCTCTCATGCTCCTTTTTTGTTTTTGTTTTTTACTTTTCTAAAATTTGTTTATTGTTTCATTAATAACAGTTTATTCACTTTGTATTCCAACTGTAGCCCCCTCCCTGGTTCCTGCCCAATCCCACTCTCCCTCTTTCTTTTCCTCCCATGCCCCTCCTCAGTCCATGATAGGGGAGGTCCTCCTTCTTTTCCATCTGATCCTAGTTTATCAGTTCTCATCAGGACTGGCTGCATTTTCTTCCTCTGTGTCCTAGTAAGGTGGCACCTCCCTCAGGGGGAGGTGATCAAAAAGCCAACCACTGAGTTCATGTCAGAGACAGTCCCTCTTCCCATGACTAGGGAACACACTTAGAAACTGAAATGACATGGTCTAGATCCGTGCAAGGGTTTCCTGAATATTCCTTAGAGTATCAGTTTCAGAAAAGTTTCCAGTGCCCTATTTTTTTTTTCTCTGCTTGTGGAGCTCCTGTCCTCTCCAGGTCTTTCTATCACTCCCTTCTTTCATAAGATTCCCTACACTCTGCCTAAGGTTTGGCTATTATTTTCAGCATCTGCTTAGATACTCTGCAGGGTAGAGTCTTTCAGAGTCCCTCTTTGGTAGGTTCCAATTCTGTTCCCTGTTTTCTCCCTCTTCTGAAGTCTATCCAGTTTCCTTTCTGAATGAGGATTGATCATTTTACCCAATTCCTTCTTCTTGCTTAGCTTCTTTAGGTGTACACATTTTAGTATGATTATCTTATATGTCTAATATCCACTTATAAGTGAATATATACCATGTGTGTCTTTCTGCTTTGGGGACGATCTTTTCTAGCTCCCACCATTTGCCTGCAAATTTCATGATTTCCTTGTTTTTAATTGCTGAGTAGTATTACATTGTGTAAATATACTACAATTTTTTGTATCTATAATGCAACTGAGGGACATCTGGAGTTTGTCCAGCTTCTGGTTATTAGAAATAAAGCTGTTATAAACATGGTTGAGCAAATGTCCTTGTTATATATATGAGTATCTTTTGAATATATGCCTAGGAGTGGTATAGCTGGATCTTGAGGTAGCACTATTCCTAATTGTCTGAGAAAGCACCGTATTGATTTCCAAAGTAGCTGTACAAGTTTAAATTCCCACCAGCAATTGAAAATGGTTTCCCTTTCTCCACATCTTCTCTAGCATGTAATGTCACTTGAGTTTTTGATCTTAGCTATTCTGATGTGTGTAAGGTAAAATATCAGAGTCGTTTTGATTTTCATTTTCCTGTTAGCTAAGGATGTTGAGCATTTCTTTAATTGTTTCTCTGCTATTCCATATTTCTCTATAGAGAATTCTCTGTTTATCTCTGTACCCCATTTTTAATTGGATTACTTGCTTTGTTTCTATTGAACTTCTTTAGTTCTTTATATATTCTGGATATTAGACCTTTGTCAGATATATAATTGGTGAAGATACTTTCCCCATCTGTAGGCTGTCATTTTGTTGTCATGACAGTGTCCTTTACATTACAGAAACTATTGTTTCATGAGGTTCCACTTATTGATTGTTGATCTTAGAGCCAGTGCTGTTGGTGTTCTTTTCAAGAAATTGTCTCTTGTACCAATGATTTCAAGGCTATTCTTCACTTTTTCTTCTAACAGGTTTAGTGTGTTTGTTTTTTTTTTTGTTGTTGTTGTTGTTTTTGAGGTCTTTAATCCACTTGGACTTTAGTTTTGTGCAGGGTGACAAATATGGACCTATTTTCATGTTTCTACATGAAGATATCCAGTTAGACCAGCACCATTTATTGAAGATGCTATCTTTTTTACATTGTATATTTTTGGCATCTTTGTAAAAAATCAGGTCTCCATAAGTGTGTGGGTTTATTTCTGGGTCTTCTACTTGATTCCATTGATCTTCCATCCAGTTTCTATGACAGTACCATGCAGTTTTTATTACTGTTGCTTTATAGTACAGCTTGAGATCAGGAATGTAGATACCTTAAGAAGATCTGTTGTGCAAGATTGTTTTGGCAATTGTGGGTTGTTTTTTTTTTTTTTTTTCATATGGAGTTGAAAATTGTTCTTTCAAGTTCTGTTAAGAATTGTGTTGGTAATTTGATGGGAATTGCGCTGAATCTGTATATTGCTTTGGTAAGGTCGCTATTTTTACTATGTTAATCCTGCCAAGCCATGAACATGGGAGGTCTTTTTTTCTTCTGATATCTTCTATTTCTTTCTTTTGAGACTGATAGGTTTTTTTTTTTTTCATACAAGTCTTTGACTTGCTTGGTTAAAGCCCTTTATGTCCTTTGTTGCTATTTTAAAAGGTGTTGTTTCCTTAATTTATTTTTCTCAGCCCTTTTGACTTTTGTATATAGGAGGTTTACTGATTTGTTTGAGTTAATATTGTATCCAGCCACTTTGTTGAAGGTGTTTATCAGTTGTAGGAGTTACCTGGTAGAATTTTTGGGGTCACTCATGTATACTACCATATCATCTGCAAATAGTGATACTTTGACTTCTTCCTTTCTGAACTGAATCCACTTGATTTCTTTTAATTATCTTATTGCTCTAAGCAATGACTTCAAGAACTATGTTGAAGAGATATGGGGAGGGTGGGCAGTCTTGCCTTGTTCCTGATTTCAGTGGCGTTGATTTAATTTTCTCTCCATATAGTTTGATGTAGGCTATAGGCTTGCTGTATATTGCCTTTACTAGGCTATATTCCCTAAGCATATATTGCTTAGGGAAGTGTCTTGTGTCCTTAATCTCTTCAGGACTTTAAACATAAATGAAATGTTAGATTTTGTCAAATGCTTTTTCAGCATCTAAGGAGATTATCATTTTTTTTTCTTTTGGTTTTGTTATATGGTAGATCACATTGATGGATTTCCATATATTGAACCACCCGTGCATACCTGTGATGTATCCTACTTGGTCATAGTGGATGATATCTTTGATGTGTTCTTGGATTTGGTTTGTGAGTATTTTTGCATCAAAGGGTCATTGGCCTGAAGTTCTCTTCCTTTGTTGGTTCATTGTGAGGGATAGTTATCAAGGTGACTGTGGCTTCATAGAATGAGATTGGTAAAGTTCCTTCTGTTTCTATTTTGTGGAATACTTGAAGAGTATTGGTGTTAGCTCTTCTTTGAAGGTCTGGTAGAATTCTGTGCTGAAACAATTTGGCCCTGGGCTTTTATTGGATGGGAGACTTGATGACAGCTTCTATTTCCTTAGGGAAGATAGAACTATTTAAATTATTTACCTGGTCTTGATTTAGCTTTGGTATGTGGAATTGATCAAGGAAATTGTCTATTTAATTTACATTTTCAAATTTTGTGAAGTATAGGCTTTTGAAGTAAGACCTAATGATTGTTTGGATTTTCAGTGTCTGTTGTTATGTCACCCAAAATTCATGTCTGATTTTGTTGATTTGGATAATTTCTCTCTACCTTTTCTATTTATCTTGTTGATTTTCTCAAAGAACCAGATCTTAGCTTCATTGATTCTTTGAATTGTTTTATTTGTTTCTAATTGATTGATTTCGGCCCTGAGTTTGATTATTTCCAGCCATCTGCTCCTCTTGGGAGTGTCTGCTTCTTTTTATTCTAGAGCTTTCAAGTGAGGTATTAAGTTACTTGAATGAGATGTTTCGAATTTCTTCTTGAAGTGACTTAGTGCTATGAACTTTCCTCTTGGCACTGCTTTCATTGTGTCCCATAAGTTTGGGTATGTTGTGCCTTCATTTTCATGAATTCTAGGAAGTCTTTAATTTCTTTCTTGATTTTTTTTCCCTGACCCAGCTCTCATTGAGTAGCAAGTTGTTCAGTTTCCATGTGAGTGTAGGCTTTTTGCCATTTCTCTTGTTGTTGAACTTCAGCTTTAGTCCATGGTGGTCAGATAAAATACAAGGTATTATATAAATCTTCTTGTATCTGTTGAGGCTTTGTGACTAACTATATGGTCATTTTTGGAGAAGGTACCATGAGATTCTGAGAAAAAGGTAAATTCTTGTGTGTTTGGGTAAAAGGTTCTGTAGATATCTGTTAGGTCCATTTGATTCATGACCTCTGTTAGAGTCATTGTTTCTTTGTTTAATTTCTATTTTGTTGACCTGTCGTTTGTTGAGAGTGGGGTGTCAAAGTGTCTCACTGTTAATGTGTGGGGATCTATGTGTGGTTTAAGTTTTATTGGTGTTTCTTTTACGAATGTGTGTGCCCTTGTATTTGGGGCATTGATGTTGAGAATTGTGATGTCTTCTTGGTGGTATTTTCCTTTGATGAATGAAGTGATCCTCCCCACCTCTTTTCATTGATTTTGGTTGAAAATCTAGATATTATAATGGTTACTCCTGCTTGCTTCATGGGTCCATTTGCTTGGAAAACTGTCTTCCAGACCTTTAGTCTCAGGTAATGTCTATCTTTGTGACTTAGGTGTGTTTCTTGTATGCATCATATTGTTGGGTATTGTTTATACATCCATCCTGTTAGTCTGTGTCTTTTTATTACAGAGTTGAGTCCATTAATATTGAGAGAGATTAATGACCAATGGCTGTTAGGTCCTTTGATTTTGCTGTTGTTTGTGGTAGTGTATTTGTGTGCTTGGCTATTTTTAGTTTTTTTGTAGTGAAGTTTTTTATTTTCTGTTTTTTTTTTTTTTTTTTTTTTTTTTTTTTTTTTTTTTTTGTAGTATCTTCTGTAATTCTGGATTTGTGGTTAGGTATTGTTTTATTTTTTATTTTAATCACAGGTCATTCACTTGTATCCCAGCCATAGCTCCCTCA